ATTAAATATAAGAAATTAAATGTATTTACACAATAATACAATGGGTAATACTGTTAGTAAATCCAGGAACGCGGATAGTAGAAATAATATTAATATATATATATATATATATATATATATATATATATATATATATATATATATATACAGTCTTGAAGTAGGGCTTCCTTAGAGTCTACGTGCTTGTAACTGTGACTTTGACAAGCGGTTACCTCACACTATTACTCTACTTCAATCACAATCACTGCTCACTCTCGGTTCTCTATATTCTGATTGACTCTGGGTATTTAACGGCAGCAGTCCAAGTAACACTCTGGTCGAGTCCACTTATGTGAAAAAGGGGAGGATCCCATAACACCCCACTCCTTAGCTCCCTTTTTGGGGGAGTTAGTATTTTTGTCTCTTATGGTTGATAATCAGGGGTTCGACAAATTTTCTCTTCCTGTTTGGCCTTCTCATTTCTGTGTCTTCCTGCGGTCTTTGCATCTCAAACGCTTCAAAGATTGTATCCATAGAATCGTCGTTTTCTGCGGTTGACGAGCTTGGCTCCTCAATCCGTCTTTTTTGTAATTGATCGATATGTCTTCTATGTGAAAACTTCTCGCCTTGTACTGTGTACATTAGATTTCCTAATGTCCCAGTAAGCCATATTGTTCCTAAACATCCTAAAATAAACCCAGGTTTAAATGATCTCTTTGGTACAATCGGTGTATACTGGTTTTTGTTTTTGTTTGGCAATAATTTGTCAAACACAGACCTTATTCTCCAAGCAAACATCAATTCCGCTGGTGAAAGAGCCGATGGCGTGTTTTCGTTAGGTGTTATTCCGTACACTTGGAGGAACTGTTGTATCGCTTTTATCGTCGGTACATCCTCGGCTTTTTTAACGCTCTTTTTAGGGTGTCAACGAATCTTTCAGCTTGTCCGTTCGATCTCGAGTGGTACGGAGCTATCTTGATATGTTTTACTTGATATGTCTCACAAAATTCTTTGAAGTCACTGGATGTAAACTGGAGGTAAACTGTGTGCCATTATCGCTTACCAAACAATCCGCAACGCCAAATCTCGAGAATAGTTCGTATAAACAGCTTGTGGTGTTTTCTGTCGTCGGGTGTTTAAATCTGGCCACCTCTAGCCATTCACTGAAACTATCTACTGTTATTAAATAATAGTAACCTTCAATGGGTCCTGCGTAATCCACGTGGATTCTGGACCACGGTCTGTCGAATTTAGGCCATGGCCTTTGTATAGAGGGTGGTGCTTTTGCCGCAGCAGCACAACCTTTGCAACTTTCCACCATTTGCGTAATATCATCGTCCATGTTCGGTCAGTAGACAAAACTTCTCATAAGTGATTTCATCCGGTTTTTTCCGGGATGTCCTAAGTGAAAATCTTTCAAAATCCTTCTTCGTAGTGACTTCGGTATTACTACTCTCTCGTTATACAATAATGTTGTCACAGATTGAGAAACTGTCTGCTAAATTCCTCACCTTCTCTTCTATTTTTTTCTTGGTATTCTGAATAAAAACTTCCTTTAAAGTGTGATGTGTGCTCTTCAACATTGTTGCACTTAATTCGAATATCATCCAGATAAGCGGTCGCGAAATTCTGGCCCGTGAGCATTGTGTCCATCGTTTGCTGAAAAATTGTTGGTTCAACTTTTACTCCGAATGGTAGTCTATTGAATTTGTACAACCCTTTGTGTGTATTAATGCAAAGGATTTTCGTACTCTCTTCTTGTACTGAAATTTGTAGATAAACCTCACTAAGATCTATTTTTGAAAATATCTTACCGCCGTTGAGCTTTGTAAATATTTCTTCTGGGCTAGGTAGTGGGTAATGGGGGTCTTTTATCGCCTTGTTGAGTCCCGTCGAAAAATCTGCGCATACGTGGATTTCTCCTGGCTTCTTTTTTACATAAACCACCGGCGCTGCCCACTCGCTAAATTCTGTTTTTGATAGAATCCCAATATGTGCAAGTCTCTCCAATTCTTTGTCTATTTTTTCTATAGTAGCGAACGGTACATTTCGCTTCTTTTTAAAAATTGGTTAAACGTTTTCTTTTAATTAATTTGTTTAAATTTGTTGCATCGTCCCAACCCGCTTGAAAATGCCTCAGGAAATTGATTATATAATTCTTCCTTCAATTTTATAGTATCTGATGGTTCAACCTCTAACTTTTTGCAAAAAAAGTTGATAGATAGGTCTGCATCCAGTCGATACCTACTAGATTTTTAGACGTATATCTTGTTTTTGTTTTTTTTGTTTTGCCGTGAAATTTAACATTCACGATTATTTCTCCCTCAAATTTTATTCGTTTGCCTGTAACCGACTTGGCAAATTTTTGTGTGTGTAACATGGTAGGTCTGTTGAGTTTTCTCCATGTCTGTAAGTTGATTATCGTGAGGTCGGAACCCGAATCCAGTTGTAATTTAACCTTTTTATTTAAAATTTCCAGTTCCACATATATCCTTCCGTTGGTGTTGTCATCGTTATGCATCCCAGTAGCTCTTATTCTATTAGTATCTTTTCTATTTCTACACTGGGATGCCTTGTGGCCCTTTTTACCACATTCAAGACAGTTTTTATATCTAAAGCGGCAATCCTTGTTCCAATGTAGTCCTCCATGCTGATGGTGGGAACTTATATTTGCTTCGATATTCGTCATAATTTGTCCTGTATGTTGTACTTTTCCTCTTATTATAAAATTTTCTTTTTCTTTCCGGGGAGGGTGAGAATCTTTTTTCATTGTCGTAAAATTTTAGTTTTCTTTCCGGGGAGGGTGAAGAACGTAAACTTTTGTTTAACTTATGTATATGAGAAACAGCTGATTCTTCAATGTCCTTTGCGTCTTTCTTTATACTTAAACATCTCTGGCAATCTTCCGATAATTGCTGTAATGTTAGACCCGGTTCATTTTGTAATTTTGCAAGCATTCTTCTGCGCATTTCGCTATCTTTTGTAGAAATTAACCCTTGAACAAAGATGAGACATTTGAAATTGTCCGGGGTTCATTCAGCTAGTTTAAAGTCGCCACAATGTTTATTTACGATTGCGGCAAACGTGGAATAATCCTCATTATTGCCCTTTACTAGGTTAAGGGATTTCCACCTCCTGTGGAAGAGTGATGTTTTCGGGCTGAAGAGTTCTTTAAGACATGTCACTGCTTCGTCAAATGTTAATTCGTTCGTCTTTTTTGGCAAGATATAATCCACGAACTTTGTATATTCTTCAGTTCCTAATTTTCTAAGCAATAGAGGTAGCTTTTTTGCTTCTGTCCAATTTTGACAGTCTATATTAAAGATGTCTTCATGTCTTCTGAAGTAATCTCCAAAATTTTTGTCCTTATCTCGAGAATATTTGAAAATCTCTATGGTATTCCTCACTGCGTCTTGCGAAAATGTTGCTTCTTTTTCAATATCTAATTGCTTGTTGCCCGCTACTTTCAATATGTTCCTGGAGCTCTGCTTGTCTTTCTTGATTTTCTTTTTGCGTTTGTAATAATTGCTTTTGCCATTTTTCTTCCATTCGTTCTTGTAGTTGTAATTGTTGGTCATTTTGGTATTTTATCAGTTCTACCAAAATATTTTAAAAATCTTCCATGATAACTCAATTTTACGTATTTTTTACTCCTCGTAACTGTTTGTCGCTAATTTGTTGTGGACAAGGGACGGATTTTTCTATTTCTTCTTGTGTGAGTTCGAATCGCTCGGCGCGAATTTGTTGTTTTTTTTTCTTCCCGTGTGTGTGCCAATTTGCTTGTTGGACGACGAGGGAAGATTTTTCTTTTGTTGATCTTTTCTTTTCCGCGTGAGTATCTTTTTTTTTCCGCGTGAGTTCGAATCTTCGTCGCCAATTTGTTGTGGATTCCGAGATGAAATTCGGTCTCCAATGAATGACAAACGCAAGAATTAAGTAAGAAATTAGATGTATTTACACAATAATACAAAGAGTAATTCTGATAGTAAATACAGAAACGTGGTTAGTATCAATAATAATAATAATATATATATATATATATATATATATATGTAGAAATTTTTGAAAAAAACAAAATCCATAAATGTAGTTAAAATGAAAAATTGTCGACGTCAGACGTTTCGGTTTTAATAAACCATTTTCAAGATATAAATTCATTAAAATACAAATTCAGTTCAATATGACGAAAACGATGGATATAAAAACACAATGGTTTATCCAAAAACGAAACGTCTGACGTCGAAAACAGATAACTATATATATATTTTTATATATCTTATAGATATATAAAACTTATATATATATATATATATATATATATATATATATATATATATATATATATATATATATATATATATCTATATATATAGTCTCAAATAGGACTTCCTTAGAGTCTACGTGCTTGTAACTGTGACTCGGCTCTCTATACTTTGACTGACTCTGGGTATTTAACGGCAGCAGTCCAAGTAACACTTTGGTCGAGTCCACTTATATGAAAAAGGGGAGGACCCCATAACAATAAAAAAAACAACCAAGGAAAAAAACAGGAAAGAATTACTAAAATAAATTCAACAAATTCATTACATGAAATAGAATTCCTTTCTAATGGAAACTTCAAGAGGGAAACTTATCATCTGGAGAATGCGGTTATTTATGGGACGTATGATCTATGTGCGGGTGGTGTAATGAATAACGACTCGGAATTGGAAATCGGTCAGACGAGTTCGAATTCCAGTCGGATTCGTTACATTCACTTATGCGCAAATACCCTTGGGAAAAGGTATGAATCCATCTCTTCATCTCCTAGCTATTGGTTGACTATCAGGACACAGTGGGTCCCATAGCCTTGGTTAGTTGCCGGCATGGCGCAGAAAGAAACGGCAATATACTGCGGAAAAATCTTCTGCCTTATGAGTCGAAAGATGCATGATCTCCTGAGCTTCTATCACGATTGGCACTTGAATGATAGAAAGCATAAAATTATTTTATTTTGTTAAATATTACCTAAACAATTGTAGCTAGTGCTTGCGTTTCAGTTTATTCTTTTAGACCGACCGACCGACAGATCGATCTATGTATCTATCTAATTCTGTTCAGATCTATCGATCGATCTATCTATCTATCTATCTATCTATCTATCTATCTATCTATCTATCTATCTCATTCTGTTCATTATCTATCTATCTATCTATCTATCTATCTATCTCATTCTGCTCATTATCTATCTATTTATCTAGCTAGCTAGCTAGCTAGCTCATTCTGTTCATTATCTAGCTCGCTAGCTCATTCTGTTTATTATCTATCTATCTATCTATCTATCTATCTATCTATCTATCTATCTATCTATTTGTCTGTCTGTCTGTCTGTCTGTTTATCTTAATCATTCTGTTCATATCTATCTATCTACTTCCAGACCCATGACAATAGCCTAGTAGATTAAAGCGTTGATGGGAACATAATAGTTGTGTGTTCCATCAATGGGTCGGGCAGTGGGTACTTACACTCAGTGGAAACGGCCAGTACTAAGTAAAAGTAAGAACTAAACGATATCCGGAGACATGAACAGTCTACCCTCGTAGATTAAATACAGGTTTCAGTTCAGAATTCTTTGGAGATTACCCACATCGATATACACCTAAAGAAGGTCCCGTTTACAACAACCGGAACATTGTAATAACAACACCAACTATTTCGTATCATAAGCTGAATATAAATTGTCTATCTACTTCAATCTGTTCATATCTATGGCAAAATTGTAGAAGAACCTCGCAGCATATTAAGTATTGACGAACAATATTTCAAATGTTGTATAAATCGATTTAGAAATTACACGGATAAAACATTTTTTTCTTATCTTCTCTTTAAAATTTTCTCATCTAAAACATAACAGACTTATAACTTTTTTTTAAAAGTTCAATTAAAAATTTAAATTAAAAAGTTTAGCAATTGATTATTTTGTTTTATCTATGAAAGTAGTAGAGAGCCCAGACCTCCACCTCCGCAAAAAATGGAGAGGGGAAAATTGATTTTATATTTAATTATTCTATTATTTTATTTTAATTATTCTAAAATTTCGCTCAATATTTTACTAACTCAATGAAATATCTGACACTATTTTCTCAGCCAAATCCAAAAGAAAAAAAAAACGAGCAGATCCATTCACTGTTTTTTTTTCCACTGCATTCAAAGGATACAGTTATGGAGAGGCAGAATGTAACATATTTCAGTTAGGAAAAATTAATATTAAAAAATATGATATTTTACGATAAATTACTGCAATTATTATTTTAATGTTTAATATACAAGAATTCATTTTTATTGTTTGTTCTGCATTTGCTAAAACAAAAACATTTACTGGAAAGATTACGGTACGATAGCAATTTTTAAAAAAAATGAATTTAATTTCATTAAATGTCAAATATAATTGGTGTCCATCAAATTGTTGGCCTTTAAATTGGCTGATGAAGATAGGCGAGTAAAGTTGAATTGCAATAAACTGACATTTCACTTATTTATAATTCAAGTAATATTTCTTTTTAGATGAAATACTCAAGTCAAAGAAAGAATTATACTTAACGAAATTTAAGTTTTTTATTGGAATTCCAATGAAAAAAAAAACACAAGAAAATATTTTCTTATTTCACGAAGTTACATTTTGTCATAATATCAATAATTTCTTTATTTTTTCGACATTAAAACAATTAGGCGTGAATTTCTGGGACGAGTTGACTTCAAGGAGGATTATTAACGATAACAATGTTGTTCCAGAGGAAATCATTGAAGAGTAAAAATAATTGTAATGAATTGTGAGACGATTGAAGCATTTTATGAAATATTTTTAGCTTTTTTGTTCTTGACTGAAGAAATAAATATATTGTTCACGACGTAGGCGATCACGGCTTGCCAGAGATATATTTTTCTTTATTTTCTGTGAATTGCCATGACTTCTTGGTTAAGACAGTGTAGTGTTTCCATGTTGTCGTCTCCCCATATTCTTAGGAAAGATAGTGGGGTAGTTTCCCGTTGTCTTCTCTACAGATTTTCTTCATTATCTGTGAATTGACAGGATTCTTGAGAAAGGTAGTGAAGTGTTTCCTTATTGCTGTCTTCCCATATTCTTAAGAAAGATAGTTGAGTAGTTTCCTGTTGCCGTCTCTACAGATTTTCTTTATTATCTGTGAATTGCCATGACGTCTTGGGAATGATAGTGGAGTGTCTTCCACTTTCCAATCACGATAAAGCAAACTCTGCTTGTAAAAATGATATTAATTATTACGAAAATGAAAATTATACAAATTTTACAATTTAAGAAAAACGGAATCTAATTATTGCATTAATTTTCTCAAGTCAATTTGTTTTGGTTCCGGCCTAAATTAATGGAAACTTTTATTCACAAGATAATTTCAGTCTGTCACACTTTCAACTTTTTAATTTTTCTCACCAGAATCTATCTTACACATTTATAAGTCTACTTTTCGCCCATGCTTTGAATATTGCTGCCACATATGGTCCGGTGCTTCTGCTATATATTTAGAGATTCTTGATAAGATTCAAAAAACAATCTGCAATGTTATTAGTCCTAACCTGTCATCTCGTCTTCGGTCACTTTCCTTCCGCTGTAACGTAGTGTCCCTGTCCCTTTTCTATAAATACATTCACGATAATTGTTCTAATGAACTTTCCTCTCCCTTTTATGCCCCACCCCAGATAAATTGTACATATGGTAACTAGTTAGGACTACATAGAGACTCTGGGGTATTATGATGTCTGTAGTAAGAATGGTATGTAAGAATGTGTTGTTTGATGTAAAGTATGCTGTGGTATGTTTGGGATAAGATAGATTGAAGACCAGCGTTCCCCTATCCCTCTTTTGGTCTTGTGCCACATTTTTGTATTATTCAAAATAAATATTACTTTCCTCTATAATACCTAGACTTTAAGAAATTAAACTGCAGTACTAAATTGGCGGTTAGGTCTCATCATTTCACATTTGAAATGGCTAAATGTAACCGTAAGTTCTATGCTAATAGTTTCTTCTATCGTACTTCCTCTTCTGATTTCTTGTTTCCCAACCAACTTTGATCTTCAAAAGTTTTAAAGCAATATTAATCGTTTTCTTCTGTTGTCTTAATCTTTGTTTCTTTTATTATCCTCTCACCTTAATAATATAATATATTCTTTAATACTCAATAACCGCTTACGTCCTAGTGGCTTTATTGCCTTGCCTTGAGATGAAATGATTAAAATAACTCCAAGCATTCTTACTGAAAGTACACTTGTAAAAAAAGCATGGAAGATGTAATTTGAAAGGAGTGCCTTGGTTATGAAAGAAGTCCTCTTTAGTAAACACATAATATTTTTCCGCCGATTTCCTCTAAAGTCATCGTAATGCTTTGGCAAAAGTGGTATACCTTTAATAAGAAACCAGGTTTTGATTATTATTTGGTTGTCTGCTGTGCACCATTGGGCCCATTACAGGATCTTAGCCAGCCATTTCCCCGTCTTGTTCTTTTCCTACTTTAGTATTTCTGTCATGTTGAGGATAATTTCTGCCATTTTCAATGAGTCTTGCCGTTGTCTAGCGTGCTGTAAAACTTTTCAGTTTCTTCTTCCATCTAATTTAATGGATATGTTCAACAGCTTCCTTTTAAGAATTCTCTCAGACATTTAACTGTATCCCAGAACACATTTCTTCATGCATTGGCCAGAGTACGAGTCCTTCTCTTATTTCATTTTCCTCTCCAACTGCATCTCTGACCTGCATCTGTCGCTTACTTTCTCTAGATTTCCTCAAGGCCATCTTTTAATATATACAGATTATTATCTTTGAATACCGATTCTCTTCAATACTCCAATTATAATGTCAACAAGACCATCCTTTTATCTTACCATATCTTTTAACAGAGACAAGGTTTGGTTTGGTATGCTTTGTTTTACGGCATATCAACCTCAATGGGTTATTTAAGGCCAAAAACGTTTTTAGGAGAGATTCGTATGAATAGAATATGTATTCTTTGGTTTAGATTGGTTTGGTTTATTTTGTTTTACGGCATATCAACCTCAATGGGTTATTTAATGCCAATAACATTTTTTATTGCTGGTAATATTTTGTTTTGTCAAAAATCTGTTTTTGGTAATATTTTTCCCTCAAAATTGCATTGCTGGTAATAATTTTTTTCAAAAACGTATTGCTGGTAATAGTAAACTATTTGCCCATAGCTGGGTCCCTTACAGGTGCTACCACCCCGGGTCAGGGTAGACCTGGGAACACCAGCAATTAAGAGGTGGTTCCACGCTCCTCAAAACTTCCTGATCAGAGGTCTTGCTGCTGGACGTAGTTTATCGTCTTACCCAGGACAGAATAGAGACAAATTGCTGATGTAAAGTTTAAATGATTTTCTCAATTTCACCAAGAAACTTTTCATTGTTTTTTTCTTTCCTTTTTGAGTTTTATCAACTTTCTATTACAGAAAAAAACATTTACACTGAGTTGCAAATGTGTTTTCTACTCTTTTGGAATTTGGTGAATTTTTCTTCTCACTATACAAATCTTCATTCCTCGGTTGTGAGTGTACGCGCACATGTGTCTTCAGGTGCCAGCGTTCTCTCTTTGTCTTTGCTGAATATCTCTTCTAAGAATTTTTAAATATTTAATCAGCATCTCATAAATTTATTTCTACTTCGTGTTACAGAAGAATTTATGGAGCTTTCAGGTGAGCAGGAATATCAGCAGTATCAATATCAGCAATCTACAAATATTTCCCTAAAATAAAGCACTTGTAAATTATTTCTAATTTCAAATGCCCTCATCTTCCCGCCAGTGTTACAAACCGGTCTGAAAGATAAACAACATTACTTATAGACAAATTAACCTTTGCATAAGGACGAGCATCGGCGTTGCTGTTGAAAAAGTTCTTCTCGCCTACATTCTTAAAATATTCAGTACTTTCCACGAGGAAAATATAATCAGACATTTTTTATAACTAACTCTGATGTGCAGCGGATTCTACTGAACACATCGGAGCCACTCGTCCTTTTAATATATATATATATATATATATATATATATATATATAGAGAGAGAGAGAGAGAGAGAGAGAGATTGCATTAAACCTTGTTATTAGTGGATACTCGTATTTAAGATAGAAGCCTCATTTAGATTTTCAAATACTATTATCCACCATAATATGGTTTGAATAATAAAAATGTCGATTTAAAATACGTCTATTAACTCTTTCGATATATATATATATATATATATATATATATATATATATATATATATATATATATATATTGTGGGCGATAAGTTTAACACCAGTGACAGTCTGTTTTATGAGTAAACGTATGCAGTTGGGTATTGATTCAATTGATCTGATCTTATATATATATATATATAGAGAGAGAGAGAGAGAGAGAGAGAGTCTGTCTG